CATTTCTGAAAATCGTGAATTTTTTGGATATCAAAATGAAAAATTACTCTTTTTCTCGAAAACGGTTCGTTTTACAGCATTTCAACAGTAATACATTTTTCATGTAGAAGTTTTCGAAGAATCATATCTGGTAGTAGAGTTTCGTACCTCCTTGTATATTAAATCATGTTTTTCGTAGCACGAAACTATTTCTAAGATCAAGTCACATCCAGGTACTAAATTTCATTATTCTGGGACACCCTGTATAGTGTTATAACACCAAGGCATCAGTGTTATTTTGGACCGTTCTACATATTTGAATGAATGAAAAAACGACGGTGAATGTGTTCTAAGACGAATTTTACAAATTGTCGAATTCTACATTTATCTATATCTATATGGGCAAAGTATTGTGAACAGTAAAGTGAAGTGAAGCGTTGCCAATGTCAGGAAATGAATTTGATTAATATAAAAACCAAATTGTCTATTCGCGAATCATCTTGAAATACCATAGACACTCAATAAATCGTTATATGGAGAATGATAGTTATGTTAATATTTCTACAATATCATTGATTGAATGATCAGTATATAGGAAAAATTTCTTATGTATATAGTTTTGTGTTCAAAGATCTATCTATAGTATAAAGGGAGAATATGTCTGCCAGAAATTCTTCCCTTAACAATATATCCTGATCCTGGACATAAATAAAGTAATTTGCAGGATCCTCTGGCATCCTCTGAATCTGATATTTATTATCATTGAGTACACGTGACCGTGTAAAGATACTCTCGAGAACGGTATCAATAAAAGTGAAAGATGTGAATAGACCATTAAGAGTGACTGGTATTGTAGTATTCGTATCTATAGAAAGTGTACTATACTGTGGAAAGAAGCATTTTTTAATCTGAAAATGCACTTATAATCAAAAAATAAACTTCTGACTATCATACAGTACGATACCTATCCTGCAACCTTCATTTCGAATTACAGAATACTGATTGTGAATTTGTATATTCTTCCACCACAAACTATTCTCAAGAAGTGACAAAATCATCCACTATATCGAATTGTCAAATTGAGACTGAAATATTGCATTCTTCGCCCTAAGGAGGCTACAGGAACTTATAGATATTTTCTATCATCCTCATTGCTTTTGCTTATTTGAACTGTGCAAAGTTTGATTATGAACTCTCAAATTTCTATATATTCTAAAATTACTAATGAGGACATTTATTGTTGAATAAACGACTTCTTATTTTGAATTTTTTGTATTTTTTTCCACATTGTGTTATAATAAATAATAATTCATAAAAACGAATTCACCCTGTATTTTTTGCGTTAACTTGAACAATACCACTATCGAAAGTAATTGCTTTCCATCCTTTTGGTGTTTCTTTTGAATGGATATTTCAGAACCCCCCTAAATTACCACATCCTTGTGATGTTTCACTATGAAGGTGTGAATTGACACCACTGTACACGGTATCATAATTTCTAATAATATTGATATAATATTGCTAATCAAGTGTTGATTCAATCGGAGATATTTCTGAAATCCACTCGATTGAAATTACACCCGAAATTTTTTCAATGTGTGTATGCAACATTTCAGATCAGTGTCATTTTCAGAATTCCGAATACGTCTAATGTGCGGTTTAGACGAAAAAGCCTGTTTATTGGAGATTTCTCATTTCATGTAATTGTTTTCAAAAATGTAATCCTATGAAGAGTTTTCGAGATCTTTAATCGTTCCAGAACTTTTCCTAACCCTGTATATATGTCGAGGATAATGCCATCGACTTTGATGATGTCCAAGTGGAAAAGTTGATGAATCACGATAGGAATTACATATAGGTCAATGGCTAGTTCGACTTTGTTTGCTCTGTCTGCCGGAAGAATTGAAGGAAAATTGCGGAAATCACGGAAATATTCCTGCTCATTGATGGAAATCGAGATGGTTGCGGTCACCGTTCATGCATGAAATTATTTCCTGTTGAAACCTGAATCCATAATTTCCTATGAAGAATTACCTGAAAATTTGCATGTTTTCTGTTGATTTCAGCACATGAAATACTATCGTGATACGTTTAAAGTTTGACCATGTTTGACCGTTGATTGATAGCATAATCAATCAAAGGGTTGACATTGAAGTTTGTTTATTTTTCACTTGTCTATTACTGCTTTATAATAACTTGGCAACGATTGCTGTTGCTATTAACATACCCATAACGCCCGCATTTTTTTTTCTGTAAGACCCTCGGTTGAATGTTACCCTGCGCGGGCGTTAGGATCTAGTATTAACGCTCTTGGTGCATACAAGATTTTATTTTTCACGAAAAAATTATCTCATCACGAAGAAAAATCGATTTTAAAAGCAGTTCATTGCTCCTAGCAATTTCTTTTCATTTTTCTTCTCTTGGTAGGCATGGCATTTGTTGAATATGTCATCATTTAATTTAGTGAATTTAGAGATCAATATATTTGTCCTCTTCGTTACGAAATTTGTAAAAAAATTATTATATTTTTACGCCGACGGTTGTAGAAGTTAGTTTTTCTGGCAACAAAAGAGGGGCAGAAGTATTATTCCCTAGGGAGATAATGTGACATATTTTCTCCCTAGGGAGTTTATACTAACTTAACATTTTCCGCATAGCTCTGCGCTTTCTGTTCGGAACACCCTTCTCTATTGCATATGGTACTCAGGAACATAGGTGAGTTCATTTAATTTCAACATACCATCATGAGAACTGTATACTTACATTAATTTCGAATTATTTTAGGCTATACTTGCTACTTCATTTTTACATGTAGCAAGGACTTTGGAAAAAAAGGCAATCTACCTTTTTTTTCCAAAAGATTTTACAAATAAATTTGTTCAGCATGGAGTCGAATATGAATCCAAACCTCTTTTGAAACGTTCATTGGAAATAATGTTGCATTTCGAATCATGCAAACAAATTTGTGTCCCAATATTTTCCATGGTTAGGATTTTCCCTATATAAAATTATTTTTCAGGATGGAAGACCACGGAAATAATTGAAATAGTGTCCTTACTGAGGTCCTTACATAGAGGTTTGTTAAACAATGTGTATAACATTCAGCTTGAATTATTTTCTCAAATTTTCATGTAAAGAAAATGGTTCAGAACATTTTGTGGAGCAAAGCCATTTCTTGATAGATGGTATAAAAAATGTGAAGTTGAAGGAGAGACACACTTATTATGGATAAATTTAGTTGGGAATAATGGCCCTGAAATGTCCCTAATGAACTTGAAAGAAACTAATTTTCACCATAAAATGGGTCCTTGAGGGTCAGAATCGACAAAAAGTGAAAAGAATCTATAAAGATTGATTTTTTTCAAGTATTTCACAAAGTTCCGGAGGTCTGTCGAGGTCGAAAACTTAGATGTAGCATTAGACATTCATCACATACAGCATATCAACAAATCAGAACTACCTTATGTGATGCAAGGTAAAATGTACCATTTTACTGGACTAAGAGGTATCGAACTCCGGAGTATAAGTTGATCAGTCCAGAGCTGGGCAGTACTCGAGTACAAGTACTCAAATATTGTACTCTGAGTACATTTTGTGTACTCAGTACCCAGTACCCGAGTACATTTTCAATAAAGTACCCGGTACTCGTACCCGTAGCATTTCGGGAAAAGTACCCGGTACCCGCGTTTATTAAACGAGTACATTTTCCGGGTACTTTTTGCAAGAATAAACTTGTCTGTGCATATGCGAGTGCAACACGGGAAACCGCTGTTATATGTTATATCATCATTATCAGTCAGCACTTCAATCAGAACCAAACGCGGAGTTTTTGTTTTGTACACTGTGTAACAGTTATAGAGTCAAGTGTTTTTTGTATCGTTTCTGTTGTTTTCTTATGACTAAACCACACTAAACTAAGAGGTAAGGGTATTTTGCAATAATATTTCTCTTATATAGAGATATACGTATATAGACGTGAACAACGACAAATAAGTAGTTTGATTTTTGCTTTAATTTACGTATTAGTAATGAATAAGAAATGAATGGGTCAATTTTATAATTTGTAAAAGACAATTGTTAAAGTTGTTGATATTATTATTGTTAGTAATAACTAATACTGATGCAAAATTTCTCAATTCTCTATTCAAATGTACTTGAAATGAGTACCCGTGAAATTCGGGTACTTGTACTCGGAGTACTTTACTCTGAGTACATCCAATGGAACTCTGTACTCGTTCTTCAATTATAAACAGTACCCGGTAGCGATTTTACTAAATATAAACTATTGCAGCACAAGACACGCCCCCTACTACGGCATTGCAAAATATAATCGAGCCCAGCACAATCCTGCAAAATCTAATCTTTGACAGCACAACGTAGCTGATTCATATAAATAAATCGATTGAAAAAGTAGCACATACCACGTTATATCTCATCTTCAAAGTACTTTACTTAGGCAAAACTCAGAGACTATTTATCCTCAACGAACTAACCTATCCCTGATTGCAATATTTTTGAGGAAGGAAAACCGAATGGAGTGTAGAAACACATTGATTAATAATATATTTCAAAAGTTGAGTTCTTCAACAAAATTGAATAAAATGAGACTGTTTATCCTAAACGCACTAACCTATTTGACTTCAAATATTTTATGAAAAAGGAAAACCAAAATGAAGTAAAAAAACATTGGTGAAAAAAAAAAGTTGCAAAAAAAAGTTCGAGTTCACAGCGATTCGAACCATGAACCTTCAGACTGAGAGTCGACAGCGCTAACCAGTAGACCATTTGGGTGTATGAATTTACTGCGTACAAGAGATTGACAACGAGAAAGCTTCAGTTCTTGCGTTGGAGCACAGTATGAGATATGACGTATTATGGTGGGCGTGTCTTGTGCTGCAATAGTTTATATTTAGTAAAATCGCTACCCGGTACCCGGTACTGGAGTACAATTTATCAGTACCCGGCTGATCACCCTGTACTATATGAGTAGTAGATATATGCTTGGACTAGTGTCTACTCACCCGCCTCACGGTCCGATCCCTGCTGGCCGGGCGGCCGTAACCGCCGCCGTACCGCTGCGGCGCCGCCCCTCGCGCCGCGTACTCCAGAGGCGGCGAGACGGGGCGGCCGAGTCTGTCCATCCACGAGCACGTCTGTCGCATCTGCCAGGGCGCGCCGCCTGGACCCGCGATGCCGCCTCCCGGAGGCATGGTGGGGGAGCGGACGGTCATGCTGAGTTTTCGACAGGATTTCAACATCTGGAAAGGGATGCTTGATGAGCGAGAAATTGTCGAATCATGAGATGGAACAAGGTGTTGAAAAGGAATATTCTCAGATAAATTATGAACATACAAAAATGGATATATATTTATATAAAGCAATACATTGAGAATTCGCATTCTCTATGTGATGAGAATATCTACTCTTTTTCAGTTTATTCAATAGAAAGCAACTACTTTCCTGGCTATATGCCACGATGAACATTGAATTATATCTATTGAACACACACGATAAGAGTTTGAAAATAATATATAAAAACTTCTGAAATTGAGAATTTGCATTCTCCTTCAGACAAAAATATGTATATGCACACATCATTCTGAATATTCATCACAAAACAACTACTTTCCTGGCTATTTGCCACGTCGAACATTGAATTATATCTGATGAACATTCAAAAGGAGAACATGAAAAATAAAGAATAAAATCCTCCGAAATTGAGAATTGACATTCTTCTTCAAATCGGATGAATAATATGATGAATAATGATATAGAAATATAACTTATCAATATATACAGCATTGAAATGAAAATTGGAATGTATAGGAGAAGTATACTGGCATGAACTCTGATCTTGATGAGCCTGAAAACTTTCAAAAATAATCATTCATATCAGTGATATGGAAAATATTATCTCTCACACACAGGTTATATGACTTTATTGCAATGAAACCATTTCGGATTTCTGAATCCTCATCAGTAACCATGATGTCCAATTGTCCACTTATTCTTACAGCCATTCTTCATGATATACACAATTTTCATCTCTCTATAATACAACTTAAACCGAGTAAAACTATATTATTCATCCGATTTGAAGAAGAATGTCAATTCTCAAATTCGGAGGATTTTATTCTTTATTTTTCATGTTCTCCTTTTGAATGTTCATCAGATATAATTCAATGTTCGACGTGGCAAATAGCCAGGAAAGTAGTTGTTTTCTATTGAATATTCAGAATGATGTGTGCATATACATATAGGTATTTTTGTCTGAAGGAGAATGCAAATTCTTAATTTCAGAAGTTTTTATATATTATTTTCAAACTCTTATCGTGTGTGTTCAATAGATATAATTCAATGTTCATCGTGGAATATAGCCAGGAAAGTAGTTGTTTTCTATTGAATAAACTGAAAAAGAGTAGATATTCTCATCACATAGAGAATGCGAATTCTCAATGTATTGCCTTATATAAATATATATCCATTTTTGTATGTTCATAATTTATCTGAGAATATTCCTTTTCAACACTTTCATACCCAATCAGGGGGTTCAAACTTGAACGATGGAAACTTGTGATTTTTATAGACCTCTAATCGCAGATTCGTGATAGAGTCTCAATTCAGAATTTCTTTCCACGCCCTGTATGATGAATGTCAAGTTATCATACACCCAGAAGCATAGTACAAGGTGCAATTGTTATTTAGTACTATGACTGATGATGGCCATTTGAATGGTCGAAACATGTCTCAAAAGTAAAAGTAATAAGCAGAATTGCCTGCACACTTCGCCATTAAACTCGTGGAGACGACTTTGGGTTTTTTCTCTTTGATTATCCCCCTCCACTTCGAGCATGGATTACTTCAGAAGATTTTTATTGAGAAATTTCAAAATAAAATCTCCTCCTAGAACACCCTGTATCTCCTAAATCAGCAACGTTTTATCAGGCATGTTAGGCTACATCTCAATATTTCAGTGTTTACTATCTGGTAGTTCAAAGATTTCCCATTCTTAATCAATCACCCGGTATACTAAAAAGCACCTGCTAGTCTTCACCACGATGGTTGAAGAACTATCAGATCTCCGATATCAGAAAAGATAGTCTTTTCTTTATTTTCACAACTCAACACTAAATACTTTCATAGATGAAAAACCCAAAGTCATCTCCACAACTTTTATTGAAATGATCAAAGATCATCAATGGTACATGTTTCGAACTTATATAAGCCCATCATCAGCCGATAAAATAGTTCAAAGTTATGGAAGTGAAAAAAGTTGAAATTCAAATAACGTGGACAATAACAGAGCAAACAAAGGCAACTGCTCCATGATTGTTAATGTAAAATTGTGTTTTTATAAAAAGTATGAAAATTATTTTTAAAATTCTTATGAAATGATCATTCAAGGGTCGGGTTCATATTTCATAAGGGCCCACGTGCCCTTAAATCACCGAAAAGTGGCGATTACCCAAGAAAATATCAAACTAATGAAAAGTATGATGTGGCTTCGGAAATAACCAGCTAAATAGGACTATTCGGTGATTTAAGGGCACGTGGGCCCTTATTAAATATGAACCCGACCCTTGAATGATCATTTCATAAGAATTTTAAAAATAATTTTTATACTTTTTATAAAAACACAATTTTACATTAACAATCATGGAGCAGTTGCCTTTGTTTGCTCTGTTATTGTCCACGTTATTTGAATTTCAACTTTTTTCACTTCCATAACTTTGAACTATTTTATCGGCTGATGATGGGCTTATATAAGCCCGAAACATGTACCATTGATGATCTTTGATCATTTCAATAAAAGTTGTGGAGATGACTTTGGGTTTTTCATCTATGAACTACACCACTCCACTTTGAGTTACCATGGACTTCTTCCAAAGATTACTAAATACTTTATTGATTATTGGAAGTAACTACTTCAGTAAGATATTCTAAAACTGAATACAAAAGGTCATTGTCATCAAATTTTCTATGTCGATGGCATAGGCACTATGGATTCCGATAGCCATAAAGTGGCGTATTTGATTTTTTTTTAATTTTTTGTTCAATTTTCGGGATGGCATTCTTTGTTAATTCGAAGACTTATATATCGAATATTATGGGATTTTTTATTAACAAACATACTCTGATGCTCTTAGATTCCATCCAAAGAAAAGCCTGGTGGGTGATGCCACACTCACTGACACTGACATCATTGGAACACCGTAGTAAGATCGGCGACCTTCCACTTTTTCAAATATTTACTTCCACAGGAAACACCACGGGAAACACCCTGTATCTACTATTGAAATTCTGAGAAATTTAAAATAAAAACCTTGTTCAATAACGAATTATTCTTCCATCAGAGTTAGAACTCAATCTAAAACTCATTATCCTTTCTGATGAAAAATGTCCACAACTAAACAAAAAATCAAAGCGGAAGGAGGGTGAAGAAAACAAAAAACTTCAGATGCCCGTATATATTGAGGAAGCACGACAAAAACAATTAATTCAACTTGGAACTTTGTTAACATCATCGCTCGCGATTATGACTCAGCAAAGGAAGCAATTAACTCCTTGTGAAACTAATTACTAGCTTTACAAGCCAATATTATTGCCATCAAAACTCAACGCTCCGAGACGTATAATGTGACTTCATGAAGTCGATAGTTTTGTATATGATCGAAGAGATATTCAGTTGTAATATTATACAGGGTGTTCATTTCAGGACTTCCCACCCTAATTTTTCTCGTTATGTGTGTATGTTTTTCAAAACTCCCGAGACACGTCAACAAATGTATCGAAGGGGACAAGTTTTCATCAGGAAATGAACGCGCCCCCTTTCATCCCCTGCAAGGGGGAGCTACCAACTGCAAAATCTCAAATGCGAAGGGATATCGAGTCATACCTCATTTCGAAGGTCTTGGTAATCTCAACACGTCAGTGTTTTGTTTTTTAAAATTGTTCGATTCGTTGTCGAGATATTTAGGAAAATCATTATACCAACTGCAAAATCTCAAATGAGAAGGGATATCGAGTTATACCTCATTCTGAAGGCCTTTCGAATCTCTACACGTCGGTACTTCTTTTTTAAAATTGTTCGATCCGCTAATGAGATATTTGGGCATTCTGTTTGCTGCTGTGTACCATTGAAAACAAAACACTTTATCTGTTTTTTTTATTCTAGGTATTTACTTCCAATGTGCCTTGGAAAGTATGCAAAAAAGTGTACTTGTTAAAGAAAATGACAGACATTGATTTGTTTACTATAATTATCAGTTGTGTGATAGTTGTGATTTGATAAGGCACTGTAGTAAAAATGGTTTAAACTGTAGCTGAAAAAGTCGAAATAGTGTTCATTTACGGCGCCGAAAATCGATGTGCTCGACGAACTGCAGCAATATTTAACGAGAGGCACCCAGATAAGAACCCCTCTCATCGGTAAGTCCTCAATCTTTTCGCCAAATTTACTCAAACAGGATCTGTTGCTTTAAAACATGATCAGTCAAGCGTTCTGACTGAAGTCACTCAAATTGAAGTATCAGGCTATTTTGGTATCAGTCCTAATACTTCGTTACGTACCATTTCTACTGCAACTGGAATTTCCTTAGACTCTATCCACAAAATTACAAAAATTAATGAATTCCATCCATATAAAATTAGATTATGTCAAGAGTTGACTGAAGACTTTGACAGACGAATTTAATTTTGTGAGCATATGACAACAATTATTAATAACAATATCGCATTTCAAAAAAATATCTGCTTCTCTGATGAGTGTTCTTTTTATTTGAATGGATATGTCAAAAAACATAATTGCTGGTATTGGAACAATGAAAATGACCAAGTGTTTGTCGAAGGGCATACCCAATATCCCCAAAAACTAAATGTATGGGCCGGTAAACTAGGAAATCAAGTAATTGGTCCATTGTTCATCAATGGAAATCTAAATGGTGAGCTGTATTTGAATGTACTAGAAAATACGATCAATCCGCTTATTACTGAAGCACTTGAAAATCAACTAGATAGAGATGGAAACACCTTTCTTGATGAAAACCAGTTACATTTCCAACAAAATGAAGCTCCCCTCCATTATGTGCTTCCGGTCTGCCAATGGTTACAAAACGTATTTCCCGGTAGATGAATAGGGCGAAGAGGACCTATAGAGTGGCCAGCCAGGTCCCCGGATTCAGCACCATGTGATTTCTTTCTATGGGGACATATGATATCAGTTGCCCGCTGCAAAATTGACTAGAGCTCCAACAAAGGA